GATTCACGATTATTTTCCCTTTCTTGTACAGCCGGTGCAGTTTCCTTTAGAAATTTAGCCAAATTAAGAGTGGTGAGATAAAACAACATCTTTTGTTGCCACCTCTTGAAGTCTACTCCTACAAATTTTTCCGACTTTTCCCCATGTGGGATAGTAGTATTATGCAACGGTATGGCCACGGGTGGTACCACATTATTGGAACCATTTCGACTTGACGAAATCCCGATGGTAGTCATTTCTGTTACACAAACAGAAGTTTAACAAAATGATGATAATATCGGTGGAGGAATAGTACACAAAGTACTATTCAAACAAAGTAATGTTTGTCCACAATCAACCAAAAAGACACAAATTTGTCTTAAGATTGTTGGAGACGACTAATAAAAAGGGTTATGTAAGGGTTGGTTTTTTATATATTTGTTTGACCAGTTTTAACCATTAAGAGCGTGATCAAAACACAATTTATATGAATGAAAAATTGGATAGAGTTTCGGTATAAAGATTACGCAAAACAAGCATTAAGAATGAGTAGAAAAAGAGAATAATCCAAGGTTAGACGTTATCTCTTTCCTTAAGATAAATTGCCCCACTACGGTGCTCACGGTGAATGACACTTGTCTCCCAAGATACAATGGATTCACAACTTGTGGTAGCAGTACTTCAAACCACAAGAAATCGACGAACTTTTGATAGAATTTCCCCTCTACAAAGGAAATGTATAAAATGCTATAGAATTAGAAAGAAGAGAATTGCAAGAGGAGAATGAATGCTCAATGCAATTGGTGTACTTAAAATCATGTTTATAGGGTTCTATTTATAGATGTAAAAAGGGTGCAAATGAAGTGGTGTGGGCCAAAACATGCATCCTTTCAAAAAAGTTGCAACAATTGGCCAAAACTTGCACTTTTCGAAAAGTTGCAACACTTCATTTCTTTCAACTTTGGTCCGCAATTTCTCATTCATCCGGAATTGGTTTCAAGATTCCAAATATACCACGACGATCTACTCGACGAGTAGAATAAGTTGGCATATTTACTTTTATAATTTGACCATCGGGTCAAGTCCGAATATTTGGTCGAAGTTGACACGTAGTCGCACCTTTTCATTTTCCTTTTTTTTTACACACCTTTTCATTTTCCTTTTTTTTTTACACACATGTCATTTAATATTTGAACCAATTCCTACAAAAGCTAGTGAGCATAACGTGTGTTTATGATTTTCAATACTCGATGTATATACTAAATTGTGCAATATATGGCAAGTGAAATATGATGCATACTTTGATTTCAGTTGCTAATTTTAAATTTGGGCATGCTGCCTAAAGCAAGCAAGTGAAATACCGTCAACTTTGACATCCATTGATGTGTCATAAGAAAAAAAGAAAGACATAATGAACATTCATCGGCCACTCATTTTTCTCGTGACCGTATATCTAAAATAAAATAACGGATCGAATTATAATTCCAACTCTCCATCACAATCTACAGAGCAAATTCATTGTTACACTTGCTAAAATTCTAATAGAATGAATTGCCTGACAAGGGTAAAATACTGGGGACCAAATTGTCCGAAACAAAAATTGAGGAACCTTTCACACAAATACTGGGGGCTGGAAGGCAAATTTTGGGGCACACGTGGGTTAAAATAACACATGCATACACCCATACGGGTGCGAGAATGTTTGGCTCTATCAGGGCGTAGATAATTTCTGCCTCTTTTTGTTAATTTCGAATTTTGTTAGGGGCATTTTGGGGAATGTATAGGGTACGATTTTGGGGTTTTTTAAGACCCAAAAAGTGAGATGAAAGCTCATAACTAATTAATTACTACATTCAATACAAACAAAGGTAAAGAAGAGGCAAAAGGGAGGGGAAAAAATCAAGAAAAGTAGAGAGATTTTGAGGAAAAATCAAGAATCCAACCAGGGGACAAGTTCTACATTTTATCTTGTATTTAATTCATTATTTTCTCTAACTTATAATTTTTTATTTTTTGTCATTTATATATAATGAGCTAAACTTTTGACGTTGAGAATTGAGATGATTGAAGTAGTTTAATATAGCTTGATTAATTTAATAATGTTAAAGTACTTATTTTTATGTGTAATAGTATTATTGTATTTAATGATTTTCATTTAGTTGGCCATTAAATAATCGCGTTGAGTAAGTGTACACTCTTTGAGTAAAAATTGTACATTTTAGATCAAGTAGTAAATACATTGGTTCTTATCAGAGATAGAGATATATGCATAATCTTAGGTGGCCCATTGAGTTATTTTCATAAATAATTAATGCAATCTATTGAGTTTTAATCGACACAGAAGATCTGGTAGATTAAATCAATCGATTAGGACTAATTTCACTTGAAATAGGTAATTAGTTAAAATAATAAAATTTGGTCTAACATATTAAATTGATAATTTGTTAAAAAGCCTGTTGAGAAATTAAATAAGCGATAATTAAGTGAAATTATGAATTCCAACTATTTTAAAATTCAACCTTCCTCAAATTTTAGATTTACTTATCTCGATCATTTTTGTTAGATTGAGGCTATGTTTGATTCCCATTTTCATCAAAATACATTTTTCTATCCCTTCTTTTTAATCACACATTCTTCATTAAAATAATATTAAACGTAAATAAAAAACTTTTCATTATTTTTCATCCACATATTTTCCATCAATATATTATTCCAAAATTCATTTTTTTTTTCATAAAAATGGGTGTCAAACACCATTTTAAAGTTATTTTTATTATTCTCAAAACCGTATTTAATTGTTTGTCTCATTTTTAAAATTAAATTTGTCTATTGTTAATTAAGTAATCATTCCTTGTGAGATCAATAACTCGAATTCGTTAGTCCACTTTATTATTTATACGCGATCTGTGCACTTGCAATAGATGCATTTACTAGCGAACACCTGGAAAGAGAGATTATTGATGAGATCACTTGTGTCATGGCCAAAGAGATCTGCAATAGAGATTGATTTGGAATCCTAAAAGGCAAGAATATACTAGCGTGAATTTTGCATCTTACAATAAATTAGAAATCGGATGCATCATCATTTCGTCTTTTCTAGATTTTCACTGCATGAATTTCCTCTTGGATTATGTCAACTAATTTTGCACGAGTCTTTGGATTCTTATTATGGACGTCTATTCAAAATGGGTTCTCATATGCAAACATGTCCACAGGACCGACGTCCGATGAATTTTTTTGTCGAAAATATTACCAATGTTATTAATCTTGTTGAAAAATTTAAGGTAGTCTTTCATTGCCCCCTGTCGAATATCGTTGAGTGAACCTATTCTTTAGCTGGGGCTAGCTGCGAATGCTTCCTAGTACCACTTTGTTATACCAGCACTTTACATCGGAGGTAGGGACGGATTCAGAGTCTGATGAGCACTCGAGGCTGTGCGTGCTGGATCCATTGAGAACAATTTTTTTTGTTGACATTAGATTAAAATTTTAGCTAATATTATTGGTAATTCATTTAATTTTCAAACTTTTCTATTAGCTCAATTGGTTAGAGCTTACATTTACATATTGGAAGTCCTTGGTTTGAATCCCTGACCAACAAATTTGTTGTGCAATATTTTTATTCTACTATTTTTACCAAAATTCAATGGGGAGGGAGACTAAAAAAGATTCGAACCTGTGACCTCTTGCAAAGCTTATTATAAGCTTAACCACTAGGTCACAATGTTCAATCTTGTAATTTTTTGCAAGTATAATTTTAAAGTTTCGAATCTTTACTCTTCCTTTGAATTATGCAGTATATGACAACAATGTCATTTGATGAGTCTGGTTTATTCTTATAACAGAATTATATATATTCAATTTAAACAAAATAATTGTTATATTTAAACCTTAGGCCTTATTTGATTTCTATTTTCTTCAAAATACATTTTTTTTCTTTTCTTTTCAACCAAATTCTTCAATAAAATAATATTATACGCAAATTCAAAACTTTTTTTAATCATATTCTTCAATAAAATAATATTATGTGCAAATTCAAAATTTTTCTTTATTTTTAGTCACAAATTCTCCATCAAATTACTATTTCAAAATACATTTTTTTTTTTACCTATATGTTACCTATATAATACGACCCAAATTGTTAGCACCAAGATTGTTGAGCCAAGGGAAGGGAGTTGGCCTGTGAAAGACAAGCTAGGAGAGATTTGGCCAGAATTAAATATGAAAATAAAAGTGTATGCTAAAGAAAAAAAAAGTTGAATCACAACCTTGAGGGCCCCCACCTCCCTATCCCTGGAGCATCGTGAGGGAGGTAAATCGCAGGATGTGTCCCAGCAGGCCAATGAACAAGAATTTGCCCGTTCAATGATGCCCATAAAAAGTTCAATTCCATATCTCAAGAATCGAACTCTCACACTGCGGCTGTCAGCAATGACGTTAACCTTTACCTAATATATATAGAAGAGAGATTATCAAGGAACAAGTTACTATGCATGCCAAAAAAAAAACTCACTCCACATGTCACACACTGATTAGTTGGTCTACCTCTCCAAGTTAGGGTAGGTTTCTTATGAGTTTTTGCTTAATTGAGTTTCCTTGTAGAGATTGACTCTGGGAGATTTTCTTGATCTCTGAAGATCATGTGTGGATATCTAAGAACCTGATAAGGTAGCTTCCTCATTGAAGACTTCCTTTCTCGCAAGTGCGAGTGAAACGGCGAAAGCCTACTTCGCCCATGGTCATCAGCAATCACTATTTCGGCCGAAGGACAATTCCGCACGAAGACCAGAAGGATGATGACATCATAAATGCGTCATAATCTTCTCTTATCATGATGGCGAACACGTGGGCTGCCACGTGGCGTTCGCTACCATGCTAGTGCTCACGTGAATCCCTCACTGCATGAGGGGTGTAATAAACCTAATAATGGATGAGCTTTCTTTCAGGATTTATGGTCTGCAAGCAATTATAGGCTATGATTAAGGAGAAGTTAAGAGATAAGGCAGCCACCTTTAATTTGATAAACTAATCCCTGAAAATTACATCTCTTATTCTCTCCTACACTTCTCTCAATTAATTATCCACAGGCAATCAAATTTGTTTTCACTAGGAATTCATCAAATTTATAGCAGCATTAAACATGAGTCTCAATTGCCTTAATTGCCAAGCCATGATAAGGACAGATTCAGACAAGGATCTTAGAGAATTTCTATCCATTAATATGGAGAAACCACATTTGAGCCTGTGGTTGGCAAACCGGCTGCCTCATGATCATGCCGTAAAGAAGTCGCCTCATCTTGTTCATATGACTGGACCCATTGCTGGTTTTGATGGTGAAACCGGCATGCCGAGGTTGGCGAGAAGTAGTGGGATGAGAAGAGATTGGAGCTTTGAGGATCCGCGACAAAGAATCAATGGATGATTATCACACAATTTTTGTTTGCTTGGTAAGGACAACTAAATAGAAATAAAAGAATGAGAGAATGTTAAAATTTCGTTTATTATAATGTCCAATCATATTTAGTACTATTTACTTTCTGTAAAATTTGTGTCCATAGAATATTTCTGTAAAAATTGCTTGTTGATTTGTTCATCTGGTTTGTTTGAAAAAGATTAAGTTGTATTTGTGGGATATTTGTTGTTTGGTCTCCTCTTTTTGTATTCACTTTTATTAATTTTACATTCTTGAAATGAAAATCGTATAGATTTATGAATAATGCTAATCATAGGTGTAGTTCAAGTGAACGTTACTCATTTGATAAATTGGAAGGGTCAATCGGGCTTTTATTTTTGTTTCTATATTGATAAAAATGAGTATAGCCCACATCAATCGTCACGATTACATGAAAGGCCTACAATTATGGTTGTTTATGAATAACATTACTCTGAATTTAGTCTTGGGTTCCATTAATTTCTCATTTTGTGCTACCTCATGACCATATGTCTTCAATAACTTGACAATAAGAAAACTATGATTGAATTGAAATCTCAAATCTTTAAAAAGTTACAATTGATGTGATTTGAGGAGAAATAAATCATGTAGTAAGAGAGCTTGGTTTTTGTTATAAAAACGTGAGAACATGCTGTTAATTAACAATGTTTTCATGAGACTACCAGGAACAGTGTGTGTGTGTGTCTCTCTCTCTCTCTCTCTCTCTCTCTCTCTCTCTCTCTCTATATATATATATATATATATATATATATATATAACGTTATTAAAGTTAGATTTATATAATTTTGGAGGTTGCGTATAAAAAACTCGTCCCTTACCTCTGACTCTATGCATGGCAATATGAACTTGACAAAATACCCGTCTTACATTGTACTACCTTGATTGGACAGGGGACTTACCCATTAGATGGGAAATTAGATAGGAACTGTTAATTTTCTTTTTCAAAGTTAAATTATATTTAAAACATATAAATAAATTAGCAAATGAAAAATAGGACAAAAAAATGAAGATATTTCAATCTCAACTCCGTCTTTCAAAAGTCCACAAAAGCAATAGAGCAAGTACAAGAAGGGCCGGACCGCCTTACTCCATTGCCATTCCTAATAATGGAGCAAGAAATAATATCCCTTCATCTTTGTCACAATCTTTGCCGTGAAGAAATGTAGAGAGGATTCTCAAATGATGGTCAAAATGGTGGCTTCGGAATTGAAACCTTCTCTTTTTCCTCTCTTTGTTCTCTATTTGGTCAATGTTATGCATTGCCATGATCAAAGCATTCATATCTACAATCACAATTATTGCTACTAAAAACTAGGGGGTTGACAAACTTCTTTCGATATGCAATGAGATCGTTCGATGACTTTTAAAAAGTTAAAAGGAACTTTTGAACTTCAAAAACTCAACCAACTTGGCATGACTTTGAAAAATCCAAAATGAACTTTTGAGATCCAAAAGTTACTTCTAAATCCATTTAGATAATTCTATGAAAGAATTCTTTCAGTTAGAAAAAACTGGTCCGATGCGACTTTTTTCTAAAAATACTTCGAAAGGGTAGACTCTTTTAAAAATTAGCTTCCAAACAAAAATTAAGATAAATTATTTCAAAAGATCTTCTACAAAAAGCCAAAAAGCAAAAGCAAAAGTGATACCAAATTATACATTGTTTCCACCTCAACAAGTTTCATAAATTATGAAGTTGTGATTGATTATTGAACGATGCAGGAAAGTAATTTCACAAATCTCAGATTAGTTTAGCCACAGAGACTTCACAACAGACACCCAGAAGCTAGAGATACAAAAAATAATACACATCAAAGATGCATTTAATCCATGGGAAAGATTCCATGAAAGGGGGTTTCTTAAGACAAAAGATCTCAAAACGCCCTATTTTTCTCACATCACAAGTTACTTCAGCCGATAACCATGTTTTACTAAGTGCCTCTACGAGTCTTGCCAAGTGCCAACAATTCAAACAAAAAACGAGAATGTTACTGTCCAATTCGTTTGTTGATTTCTTTAATCTGCAATAGCAACACCAACAACGGGAAAGAAACAAATTTGAAGTTCCAGTAAGGACTACTAACAAAAGAAGCCAACAACGATAACTTACTCATATTACATGATTTCTATAGCAATTCCCTTTCCATTAAAAGCTCCTCCTAAGACAAGAAGTTATCGAGCAATTATTAACATTGGCTAGACAATCACACTAACCCAGAAAAAAGCCTGGCCTCGGCCACTTTAGATTTTCTTGCTCCTGGCCTCTGCTTTCCAGTGCCTGCGGCTTGGCACTGATCTCTGTGCTGTATTATCTTCTGGGACAAGATCACTGGATTGAATTCCATTTTTCATCTCCGAAACTACCGTTAGACCTGACTGCAAGGTGGGCACCAGACTACCATCAAGTGTTGGTGTCCCAAAATTATTCGGGCGGTTAGATCTGACTTCTTGTTCCGTATTTATTTGGACCCTTCTAGCATCTCGCTTCCAGTCTCGTTGGCAGTGAACACGGGTCACAATATCTGGGGAAGTTACACTTTGGGAAACCTTTACTTGCAGCGGAGCAGATTGGTTTTCAGTAGACACCTGATGAAACTGAACTGGAGTAGATTGATTACTGATTAAAGCCTTCTTCAAATCAGTCTCATGACGTTTCCGAGCCCTATATCGACGCTGCCTTTCTCGGTTCTTCAGACGACGAGTCAAAAGGTCATCATGGTTTCTAGTTTGTTTTTCATCAACAGGCTTTATGAGAGAACCGTTTGGCATAGAAGTATTACCATTTTTAACATTATCCATGTCTTCAAACAAAGGTCAAATGATCTGCATTGGCGTTCGAAGGATAAAATGTGTTTCTGAACCATACAAGATTAACCCTTCTCTTCATGAATCAAGCTAATTTGATTGACCAAATATCTATTCATCAAGGTATTCAAATATCAGTTGCTGTACATAATCCACCGCATCGTGTCAAGCTGGGATATAGAAGACTTGTATTGTAAACACAAATTTAGAATCATTTGACAAACCTATTTGTGCAAAACAAATGGCACCCAAACTAATAACGCAATTTTAGCAAGAAGGCAGCACATTAACATAAGCTAAACTGAAAAAACAGAGGAAAAGGGTTCCTATATAAAAGAGGAAAGAAAATGTGCCGTGACAGAGAATAAAAGATAGAAGATGTATAGAGCTTAGGAGTTCAGCATAAGGTTCATGCAACATTAAAGTTGAGCACCAGGCAACAAACTCAGCTGCATTGCCTTTCAACATGTATGCCTCAACATTCTAGTTATTTTATTAAGAGAACGTGTAGTTGAAAATGAATTTGTTGAAAAATATATTATTGAAAAATGGGGCTCAGACAAGGGCTAATTCCAAACACAAGTCGGAATTTCATTCCATCAACATGTTTAGTATCAAAACTACAAATGGTAAAAAGATGCAAGTAAAACTCAAGTAAAATGAGTTTCCCAAACACTAGAGGTAAGAAAAATGGGCAGTGAGATAAGATTCAGAAGTCCAAACAAATATGGCCTCCATAAAAACACGAATGAAAAATGACAAACAATTATCTTGTCTGTGAGGCTATTTAAGAACTGGGAAATTTCCTGCTCTCACCAGGATACAAATAATCATTCATGGGGAATATACATTTGGAGATGAAATGGTGGAAAATGTATTTGGGTTGAATCACCCAAATTTAGTAATTAGAGTTTGCCCCAAAGGGATCCCAATTTTCAATGGAGGGGAGTCTTGCACAAAGGCAGGATTAACAAAACACACGTGCTGCCGCCTATTAGCTTGGCATGACCAACATTTTAATTTGCTGACCCTAGCTCAAAATGTAGTCAAACCTGTGACTGGCCAAGCCCTAATGTTGCGATCTTTCAAACAATTGACTGTTGCCGAAAGGATTTCTAAAGGGTCAATGTTTCCAAGTGTTGAGACCCTTAAATTGAATTTAAACCTTTAGACCGCTGCAATAAGCCCAACAAGTGTGTAGCCCAAGCCCCATGCCTTCTAACCAAAATGACCTATTTTTTTGCGAAAAATCAGTTCTTCCGTAATTGACAACTTTTCATCTTTAATCTCACCTTAAGGAGACAATTGGTAGAAAACTTCAGTACTACGGGGAACATATTCCTCTTATAGCATGTGTGGCAATGCTTTTAAGTAGCATGTGTGGCAATGCTTTTAAGTACTTATAAGATGTGGATAATAAATGAATAGCAAGTTGTAGGTCCTATGAAATGTATGGACAAAAATTATGTTTGAATAGCTAAATTATAATTCAAGTTTCACCAAGCATGCACTTAAGGAGATATTTTGAATTTAGCTTTAGATTACTATAATTCTAACCAGTTTCTAATTGCATGGCCAAAAATTGCAGTATACCTCCAAGCATAAGATAGGAAAAACATATATTTCATTAGTTAGTCATATAATTCATGTCATTGTTTATCGTGTAAAACAAAAATATTGTATCTTAAAACAGAACTGACATGAATTTAAGCGTGTCCTTGTCTTCCCAACATTAACTTGCATTCAGGTAAAACAGATATGTCAAAAAATGTTCCCACCTTAATTATCAGTCCCTTCATTTATTAAAAATAAATTCTCTTTGGTTTACTAATTTTCAGCTGGTAACATGAATTCAAAGGCCTTTTATTCACTTCATAAGAAACTCTTTCACAAAATGTTGAATTGATGACAAAACCCAACTAAGACTTCAACTTTAGTGGCAAGATTTAAATTTATTTTTCTTAAAGTAACGTGCTTTGGGTGATTATGATTTCTTTTTTACTTGAGAAAATCAGAAGTCCATTTAAAAGTCAAGCAAGAACTGTAAAATCAATTATTTTTAGTTAGAAAATATATTAATTAGAAAAATGTTAATTTAAAGACATTGAATTTAGCTTAAGTCTATTGACAGGCGTAAAGGCATTATTATAGTTAGGGTAAGTTTAGCAAGAATTCTAGTGATGAGATTCTCTATTTAAAAAGTAAAGGACTAAAATATTTTTTGATTAGGTAAAATTTAAATAATAAACACTAAGGGGGTGCTCAGAGTAAGAGAGATTCACTCTTCTATACAATTGCTAAGAAATTGTCGAAAGAAGATACATATGATAATGATATTATCTTAATTGTACAAACAAAAATAAGAGTTAGAAGGGTAGAGATAATTTGGTAAAACCACAATAAGTACTGAAATTTATATTTTCCATATAACGTACTACAGTATAAATAATTCTCTTACTCCCAAATTGTGAGTTGACTTTGTGTATCTGGGCATATGGGAGTGAGTATATGTTATTTGATTTATATATAAAGAGAGAGAAACTACTTATAATGTTGTATCCTAACAACTATACTAAAGAAACTAACTAGAAAATAACTTATGCTGAAATTTTTCAGGAAAAGAAAAACCTTATTCATACTCTAAATTGAAAGCATCTACTTGTAAAAACAAGTCATTTAAATTTCAAGTGGCACTATTTTGAGTATGTTAGACTACACATTTTTTATAAAGTAATACACACTAGAACATAAATATTAATCATAAATGCAACATGTTTGCTAATATATGATAAAGAAAGTCTCGGTACTGTGCCTTAATGTTTAAGCAAAGATCTTCTAGTTTTACAATATTGGACATAAACATGAAATTCTGATGAATAATGTTCGAATTAGATTTTGGATGTTTCTCACTTTTTCTTTCCTCGAACCTTTATTTAATAACCAAAAATAAATAAATAAATAATAGAACTAACATGATATATAGCATAATTAACTTGCCCCTACCTCCAAGTCCCTATCATCCTGTATCGCAAGGTTTAGCGCCTAACAAGGGCAAACAGTAACAAGAGACATGAAAGGTCCTGCTTAAGCGTAACTGGTTCAAAATGCAGTCAATTGCCAATTTTTGTCAGCTCATTCATATACGCATGCATAAAATGTGAAGAAATTGTATTGTATAATCATGTTCTGATGGCCCTCCAACTTAAAATTTACATTTCCAGAAGTATGGGATTCGGTGGTTGACTTATTGTCCAATTAAATTATAGATGAAACAGATAGTAAGAAATCCAACAAACTAATGGCTTCCTTTTACACAGAGTGATTCTTGACTTGCAAAAAACCCAAATGGAATGTAGCCATGGAGTACCTCAAGGAGAAAGTAGCAATTGACAACCATAAATTTCGACACAAGTCACGACACAATAAATTAATGTCAATAATAATTTGTCCTACCACCAATAGCAAGAATTCCTCATTAAATTGGCTTTAGACACTAGAGAATACATACTATCACTTCGGACTCCACTAATTTACTCACTTGCCAACCATTGAGGGTCGTCATCAACCTATCACTAGCCTCACTCTTCTTCATCCAGCATATTGACCCTTCTCCCTTTAGTCACTTGCACCTAAAACGGTGTCTATCTCATTAATACCATGCCTATTGTTGAGAATAAATATCCATTCTAGTTTCCTATCAATTCCAAGCCCAATTATTTACAATTACGAATTTTGGGTGTTCGTAACCTGAAAAAAGATCAAAACTTTGTCTTTTTCTTGGCTATTCAAATGTTCAAAATTGTTATCACTAAATTGGCTATTCTTAGCTACATCTTATCTTTTCTTCTTTTTTCTCAAACCCTAATCAACAGAATTGGGGCAAAAGCATGTGTGGATTTGCAGTTTTGCACATTGAACAAAGAGAGAGATACACACCCCTAGGGGAATTCAAATCCTAGCTGCATTCTTGAAAGAGAGATGTCTTAAACCACTAGACAATGGGGCCAACTTGCCCAACCACCCTCATACTATGATCATTGTATGAACAAAAATTGGCAATATAATATAATAGTATGATTAGACTAGCTAGATCTTTCCGTTTTTAAGAATTGTATAGAATATTTTTTGATTTGTCGTCTATATTCATCAATTGCTCATAAGTATACGAGGATCGCCACACTCTATATAGATATAGAAATCTATATTCTTAAAAGTCTACCCTATTTTATTCTTTTTAGTAATACCATTCAATTGCCCTTGTCTACTTGAAATGAAAGTTGGAGAGTATTCATGCCACAAGAGTGGAAGGGACTTTTACCACCTTAGTTCTATGTAAGGATAAGAGCCAGATTAGAAAGGAAAATGGGAGCTTATAATAGTTGTACTTTCGCCGGAGAGCGACTTTTTTTGCTGGGTGGGCTTATCATAAAGTATCTATTTCTTTGAAGAAAGTCATTCGGCTTCTCACTTTAGAACGACTCCAACCTAGAGAAACTTATTTTTTTAAGTGATAGTAAATTCCTCATCGGGGTATCCACTAACTAACACCCCCCCCCCCAACAAAATAGCCGATTGAATGGTTGGATAGCCACTGAAGTGTTCGCTACACTTCCTGCATCCCACTCCCCCATCTTTCTCAACCTATTCACCAGAGTGTGTTAGGCAAGAATCCAACCTAAATCCGTTCAGAGAGCTCTGAGCCCCGATTAGGGCCCCATTAATTTTGATTATAATGGGGGAATTTTTTTTATTTTATTTTTTTATTTCTTTTTTGGTTAAATCCATAACAGCTAGAACATTAGACTAATCGTGTATGTTTGGACATCTCCAGGAGTTGAGTAGCTGCCCACCATCCCTTCTTCCATGAGAGAGGGCTCAAGTGCCGTACGGATATAGTACAACTCAGTATAGCAAAGGACGAATTCGTCGATGTGATGACAAAGCATCCCCAACAATTTGAAGGAGTAATGCAAAACGCTCTAATTTTGATTATTATTTGATGATCCAATCCTATCTTGATCATGCCCAATTACCGTCTTTGACAAAAAGTCCATTCCCAAAGAATCAATCTTTATTTTGTTGTTGAATCTTTCTTTGATAGATTAATGTGTGATATTCTAAATCCTCATTACAAATGTAATCCAAAGTTTGATAGGAAGTTGGAGTCAAGTTCATTCGCCCTACTCTGCCCTGTAAAGACTAATCTAATTCCTTCTTAATCTCTGCTTTGAGCCCTCGTTGGACTTTCTGGGAGTTCTAAACTCTGTAATTCATTGTTGAATCTTTTCGGTTTTCAACATCAATTAAATCACATAGTAGGAATTAAATGAAATACCGAAACAAAAAGAGATACGAATCTACAACGTAATATAAATTTCATAAAGGGAATTAAATAAATTAAAAAAAAAAAAGTTACCTCTTAGAGAGAAGAATGAGCGCGATTATTGGAAGGGATGGGTAGAAGAAAACCCTAAAATGTAAACGGAAGATTGGTTAGTGTTTTTGTCTGGATTCGAACAGGCATTTGTGAGAATGAGCACCATTGGCGGAGGTGAAAGTGGAGCAACCAAATCTGACCCGATTACACAAACGGATGATCCAACGATCCGCAAAAACGTGATTTGGTCCCTAACCTTTATTTTCAGACAACCAGAACCTAAACGTTTACAAATTGACATGAAACCACGTAATCAACAGAATAAAAAAGTTGTCAGTTGCGAATATTATTATATTAACCCCCTGATACCTGAATCCAATTCTCGTCCCTTTGTGTACGACGTTCTTCACCTTTTACAATAGTCCAAAATAAAAAGGACAACATAGAAAAGAGAGATATGAGGGGAAAATATATCCAAACAGCCTAAATAAAAGGAAGGTTTTTGAAAATAAACTAAGAAATGAAAATATTTGAAAAATAGTCTTCAAACAACCATATTTCCAAAAATACCCCTTCTAGAAAAATTGCAACCAAAGCCACCACAATGTATAAAGACCCTCAAATAAGTCCTCAAGAAAATATAAACCAAAAATCTTTAATTAAATTAAATCCAAATATTATAGAAAATTTCATTGATCTAAGAAATGCTACAGAAAATGAATTAAAATATTTAGAAGAAGAAATGAAAGGATTCTTTACAGAATATTTAGATCCAAAATTAAAAAATAAAAACGTTTCTATAGATAATAATACAATCAAAACAGAAAATGAGATATATAAACTAATTCTTAATCTGAGAAGAAGAATTAAAGAACTAAATAAAATCATTAAAGAAAAAGTATTAATAAAAAATAGTGAATTTTATAAATTTTATTGTGACATTTTAAATACTTATAAAGATTTTAATTGTCTTAAAAATATTAACCCCTCCGCTGCACACTCTGACGAAATGGTATCAGAGCCATGTTACGAACCAAAAATTATGATGAATATAGTAGATGAAGAAAATATAATTGAAGAATTTTTAAAAAAAGTTGAAAAACATAAAAAACCTAGTTATCCTTATTTGCCTAAAAATGCCACAAATGAAAATTTTGGAGATATACATAAAAGATTAGAAAACCTAGAACATAATCTACTTTTAGATAAAAGTTTTAAGGGAAAAGATAGGATTATAATTAATTCACCTCAAGATTTTAGGATAACACAAAAAGAAAATATAGGGAAAGAATATGAAGAAAGACAATATATGATAACAGATGTAGAAGAAATAGAACAAAAATTCTTAGAATCTACAGGAGAAGAGTACGAAGAATATAAAAAACAGTTAGAAGAATTAACTGAAAAAATGGAAAATATAAAGATGAATATTAATCCATCTTCAAGTCAAAATATAAAAGTAGAATTTAGTAGTGATGAAGAACAAGATTATTCTTATGGTACTACAATACCACTTAAGGATGGTATTAACCAATATAGAAAAACACAGAAAAGATATACTGAAAATGTAAGAAAACAATCCATAAAAGAAATAAATCCAATGAAATCCTATAATGAACCAATTCACACAACATGAGTATGGTTAGATTTAAACTGTATAGATAAAAATAAGGCTATTGAAACATGGATGAAAAGTACAGATTTAGCAATACAATTTAATAAATGGGAAACATATACAGCTTTTGGATTTATAGAACATACATTCAGAGGAATTGTTTCTGAATGGTGGAGAAAGTTACCAGAAATTATTAAAGGAAGAATAAAATATGGAACAAATAGAACTGAGGTATTAGATAATAAAAATACTTTAAATGAACAAAATATACAGAAAATATTAAAAAGATTTGAAAAAATCTTAAGAACAGAATTTTTAGGAGATAGGCATACTTCTAATGAAGAAGAAAGAAAACAAGATGTATTCCATCAAGGATTCTTAGGAATTTTACCAAGAGTAAATAAAACAATTGTAAGTATGAATTATAAAGAAATGTCTATTAATATAGAAGATACTATAGGAAAAGCAAAAATACCTATAATTACAAAAGAATGGGTAAAACAACAATTATCCAAAATCCCAGAAAATGTAAGAAATAAATTGAAATGTATTGAATTAGGAGGAGTCTAGATAATGATAAAAGGATTCTTTAGAGAAGGCATGAATATACCAATAGAAATCTACTGTATGGACAATAGAATCTTACAAGATCCTAAAGATGCTCTATTAGGAACAGTTGTAGGAAATTTAGTTTATCAGAAAATAATATTTACAGTGAAACCAAATTATGCAATATCTTTAAATGACGAAAATATTGACCAAAGTTTCAATCTATATTATAGGATTGGAAATTTGAAAATGTTACGAAGAAGTAAGGCTATTAGTATAAGCATAAAATTAATTTTTGCTTTTAGTACTAGCCATCATAACAATCTAAGGAAAATAACTAATAACATTATCATACATAAAGATTTTGAGGAATTAGCACAATATATACCTCCCAGAAAATACCAAGAACATGAAGTAACGATACCAGAACAAATAATGCTTGATTTCCATAAACAAGCTAGAGAAATTAACTCTGAAGGAAAACTAATAAGAAGAAATAGTGTAAGCTTAGAAGGAGACAATCTTATTGCAAGATTTCCCTCTAGACAAGACTCTAGGATAAGCAGACTTAAGAATTTAAGTATTGCTGAACCATCAAGTTCACAATATTACATTAAGACAAGATATGTAAACCAAGAAGGATTTAAGAAGAATCTTCTTGTCCTCATAGATACTGGAGCAGATAAAAGCCATGTAAATGCCAAGTTTGTTAATCATTTAATAGACTTTGAAATACCAGAACCATATATATTTAAGGATTATTTGGGAAATAATCTTGAAATAAGAAAATATGTTAAATTCCCTCTTATACTTGTAGGAGAGGATCAGAAAGAATATATTAAAGAAATAATTTTGTACAAAGATGAGTTATATGGAGTAGATCGTTCACCTATTCTACTAGGAATGAACTTTCTTGAGAAATATAGTCCTTATAAAATTTGTCAAGGATATTTAAAAATAACAGTTGATGATAACCCAATTATTATACCAAGAATAGATGAAAATATGAAATCATTGTTATCATGGAAAGAATAATAAGTACTAATCCCATGAGTCCATATATTGAAATTACACTCAATATAAAAAGTTATTGTAGAATTAAATTTCATGCTTACTTAGATACAGGAAATACAATAAGCTTATACTTACCAAATGTACTACCATCTGAACACTGGAAATACAATTCAAAGAAAATAGTCACAACTACAACAGCAGGAGGAAATAAGGTAATATATAGCAAGTATGCTACGCAAGTACCTTTTCTAATTTCCTTTAGAGAAGTATTTGTTGATACAATATACATGTCAACCACAATAGGATGTGATATTTTATTAGGACAAAATTTTCTATTAAAATATGCACCATTTACACAATATATTGATAAGTATATGTTCACAACACCTTGTGCACATAAAATATTTACACCAAAAATAAATAAAGCTGTTACAATTGCATATAGGGATATAAAACATCAGAGTTCCTCAACCCAGCGTGGTGGATGTTGGAGTACAGAAAAATTTAAACCAGTTACAGTCTTAAAAATGACAACAGAAAATAGGTTGGAAAAATTGAAAAAATAAATCTCTGAAACATATTTTGAAAATCCATTAGAAAAATGGAATACAGACAAAGTAAAGGCAAAGATAGAATTAATCAATTCAGACACTATAGTAAGAGTCAAACCTATGAAATATAGTGTTGATGATCAAAAAGAATTTAAAAATCAGATAAAAGAATAGTTAGAAGCCAGACTGATTAGGCCTATTAAAAGTCCACATAGCAGCCCAACCTTTATGATTAGAAAACATAGTGAGATAAAAAGAGGAAAAGCCAGAATAGTAATAAACTACAAAAAATTAAATGAAGTTACTAAGTTTGATGGATATTACTTACCAAATAAGGGCACCCTTATTAAACAAGTACAGAACAAAAAGATATTTTCAAAATTTGATTGTAAGTCAGGATTTTGGCAAATCATGCTTACAGAAGAAAGTAAACCATTAACTGCATTTAGTACCCCCAATCCTTTAGAACAATATGAATGGAATGTAATGCCATTTGGGTTGAAAAATGCACCACAGATATTCCAAAGAAGAATGGATGAGGTAATCAAACCTATTACTCATTTTTGTATTGCATATGTAGATGATTTACTTATTCATTCAAATAATATTGATGAATATCTTGAGAAATTTTGTTATATTATGAAAAGATATGGTATTACACTTTCTCAAAAGAAAGCTAAGATAGCTAGAACAGAGATAGAATTTTTAGGATTATTTATAAAAGAAGGAGAATTGCAATTGCAATCTCACATTGGAGAAAAACTCCAAGAATTTCCTGAAAAAATCAAAGATAAAAAATAATTACAAAACTTCCTTGGTATATTAAATTATGTTGAAGGATTCATTAAAAATTGTGCCAAGTTAAAAAATTATTTTCTTCCAAAGTTAAGAAAAAATATAATGTGGTCTTGGGAAAAACAAGATTCTGAAAATATAAGGAAAGTTAAAAAAGAACTAAAAGTGTTGCCCAAACTTATAATACCACAAGAAGGAGACTTCGTTATCCTTGAAACTGATGCTTCAGATTATTACTGGGGAGCAGTGTTAAAGGTGAAAAAGAATCATAAAGAATATAAATGTGAAAAAGATTGTTCTTGTCCTGAGATACTTGCAGGTTATATATCAGGGACATTCAAAGAGGTTGAAACAAGATATAAGACGAATAGAAAAGAACTCATTGCTGTAAAAAGAGGAGTTCAGAAATATGAGGATTATCTATTACCAAAGAAGTTTTTGATTAGAACTGATAATACTCAAGTTAAAGCATTTTTGAAAAATAATGTTGATCCATCTATTACCAATAGATATATTATTAGGATACAAATTTGGTTCTCATATTTCAAATTTGATATTGAATATATAAAAGGTAAAACTAACCTACTTCCTGATTATCTTAGCAGGAATGGAGTTGGAACAACTAAGGACGAAAGTCCAAATACTTGAGATAAAAGTTTCCTATTTGGAAACCCAAATTCAAAATATCCAAGATAGCCTTCGAGGCAAAAATATAGCCCTTGAGGCAGAAGTTACTTGTACCAAGACTAGTATCCCTTCGCAGGGACTTGTAAATACTAGCGCTCTCCCCGAGGATAAAGGGAAAGAAAATAAGGTAATAGGAACCCCTTTACAGGGAATATTCAAACTTATTACTGGCAATAAAGATACTCAAGATATCAAAAATGAAGGTAGCTCTTCACAGAGCCAAACTCAATCTAAACTTTCTA